AAATATTTATTCTAATTCCTATAATCATGGTTTGTGTTTGTGTTTGTTCATTTCATGTTGCACTGTGGCAAGCCAGACTTCTGGGAAGAGAAGAAGATTCAGAACACAGGAGCAGCAATAGCCATGAGGACAGAGTGGACCCTGACTCTCCTGTAGCCATACATAGAAACGCCAATAACAGCCAAGCATCCATTCAATGACCTGGGATTCTCCTCTGCTTTTTACCCTTCTGCATTCACCACAGCAAACTGGTCCTACTGTTCTGCCTTCTAATAACTCTTTCATCATCCTCACACCTGTGCTGCCTGCCTGGTTTTATGGCAGCTAGACATGAGCTAGAATAGATTCATCTGAGAAAAGGCAACATCAACTAAGAAAATACCCCCACAAGATTGAGTTATAGGTAAGTCTGCAGAGCTCTTAGTCATTGATGTAGGAGAGGCTAGGTCATTGTGGGTGGGGCCACCCCTGGGAGGTGATCCTGGGTTCTGTAAGAAAGCAGCCTGAGCCAGTTATGAGGAACAACCTAGGAAGCAGCACTCCCCTATGGCCTCTGCATCAACTGCTTCCAGGTTACTGTCCTGTTTGAGTACCTGCCCTGATTCCTTTCAATGTTGAACAGTGATGTGGAAATGTAAGCCAAATAAAGTCTCCCCTCCCCAGGTTGTTTTGGTTATGGTGTTTCATCACAGCAATAGTAACCCTAACAAAGACATACCTATTGCTGTTGTCCTGGCAAGACCCTTTTCTCAGGTGGGTTCCAAATTCTAATTCTCTTTGCCTTCTGCCATCTTTCAAACGGACAACAGCTAGTTTGTTTTTTCTACAAGAGAATTTGTTTAACTCTTTCATTCAAAGCTCCACTAGAACTCCGATTGCCTATCTGACAATGTGTGACAAAGCACACTGTGCAGAGAGGTCCAGACTGCTTTTAATCGACCCCACTGTCGAATACTTTGCCCTGCCCCAGTATGCTGGATCTGCTGCAGCCTTTGAAACTGTTCATGATGTACTGCACCCCCTTAGCTACCTTCGATTTGGCCAAGTCTTAGCATTCTCGAGGTGTAACAAACTAATCTACACCTCCTTCCAGTTCATGTACTGAAGCTCTAATTCCCAGTGCAACTATTTGGAAATGGCATCTTTAGAAGGTGACTGGAGTTAAATGAAGCTGTATGAGTGCCATGTGATCTTATACTCTCAACCTCTAGAACTGTGAGAAAACAGTAAATTAAGCCACACAGTATGGCATTTCATTGTAGCAGCCTGGACTATAAAACAGAAAGACTTGCTCAATCAATCTCTGTGTGCTCCAATGTCTGAGGCTAGAGCCCTCCTGCTGGTTACACTTGACCCTGGACACTTTAATTCATCATAGTGTGGGTTTGGCAATTTTATCTTTTATACTAGTATTTTAATTTCTTCATAGCATGGAAATCCTCTTATTCATTTTTTATATCAAAGCCCACAATGCTTATTTTATTTAATTTTGGAGGCATCCCTGGGCAGAGGCTGTGTTTTAGTGATTGAGCATATGGGTGTTTTGCTGGAAGGTCCCATGGCATATGTGATTTTGAGGGATGGGTTGCTGAAGAGTTCTCATGAGTAGCTTCCATCATGAAGTCACATGGACACTGGCACTAGTGAGTCCTGAGTTGGCAGGTGGTGTGACCAGGGAGGTCTTGGTGAGTCTTGTTTACTGGGAAAGGCACAGGCACCTAACAGTAAATGCTCTCAACAGCTTAGCAAAATCAAAGGTATTTTGTGGTTCACCTGGGGTCTTAAGTGCAAAAGATTAATGGCAAGGAAGTAGCAGAGACTCAGCGGTTGTTGAAGTAGTGTGAGATTCCTCAGAGACACAGGAGGGAAGGTGCATGTTGTGGAGCTCAGTTACTGAATGTAACACTACTGCCATTCAGTTCTCACTCAGGCCCATAGCAAACCTGCCAGGGGCCACTTTCCATGTGCTTGACTAGGGTGTATCATTCATCCCTCCTTCTGATTAGTTTTGTGAATTGAGTCAGTTCTATGCCATTTAAAGAGTGCCCAGGACGCAGAGATCTGAAATGTGGGGATCTTACCTGTCCTAATCAGTTATCTTTTTCTTCCTATTTGTGGCTTCTGCATTTGCTAGTTTCCCAGAAACATAATGCAAAGCTGGCAAGAGAAATCAGACTTGGCAAATTTCAACTGTGAAGCATCCAAATGTTACCAGAATCTCACTCTGGTCTCCCTTCTGCTCCCCATCCTTGTGGCTGCCATACAAAGAATTCAGATGGGATGTATACAGTCTGTCGTGTAGAAGACAGGCAAGGCTCATTGCAGAGCATCACAATATAAACTATTCTCATGGAGTTACTGTGCTGCCTTATGTGTTTAGGCAGGCTTTACACTACTTTCTCAAGTCTCTGACAGATGTATTCCCCAAGGGTATTCTCCTGTGCTGGTGAATGATATCTTGTTTGGATTAATTCTTTAAAAAATATTTCATTTTATGTGCATGAGTGGTTGATTATGCAAGCATATATGTCTGTGTACCACACACATGCCTATTGCCTGCAGAGGCCAGAACAGGGTGCTAGATCCCCAGGATCTGGAATTATAGTTTTCAGAGGCCATGTGGATGCTTGAAGCCAAACCTGGGATCTCTGAAAGATGAGCAAGTGCTTTCAACTGCTGAGCCATCCATTCAGCACCTTGGATTAACACTTAAGGGAGGGACAGTTGTATGTCCTCACTCCTTCCCACAGAGTCTTCTGCTAGACAGAAGTTAATCACTTTATAATCAATCCATCACTTCAGAAAGTCATGTCTCTACATCTCTACCCAGGATAGGGATACAGCTCAGAGCTCATTCTTTTGATAAAAAATATCATAGTGTACATTAAAAAGAATGACAACAGAAAAATAATCCTATAAACCTGAGAAACTAGCCATGGTTTACTAGGAATAAATAGCCCTTTTAATAGGCCTCCATGAAGACCTGCTGCCTCCACCTTCCTCACTTTTGTTTAATCTGTTGCTTTCCCGAGGTCAGTCTGTGGCTGTTGCTCTGAGCTGTTCCTTACCATGTAAAACAGCAGCTTTTCAGGCTGAACCTTGTTCTAAGTGGTCATTTCACAAGCCACGTTGGGTTCCACCTTAAGTGCAGGTGCAGAGGCAGGATGACTCTGCAAGTTGTACATGGAAACACCACCACCACATCCAGTACTGCCCATGACATACAGCCAGACAATGCATCCCCAGAGTCAAAAGTCATTGCCCTATATAATTATGAATCTAAACAAACCATGTGAGACATGGGAATATAACCATATTAGAGAAGCAAGGCCTGAGAACTTACTGAATGAACTAGACAAAGAAGCAGATATAAGACTCTTACCTGGATCCCATAAGAGAAGGCCACGTAACACTGTGATGGCCCCAGCCCTCACTGACCTGTCACATGACCACTTATATTTGAGTCAAAGGAAGGAAGTAGGGAACTCCTGACTGAAACAGGGCTTTCAGCTCAGTTTGGTCCCCATTACTGTCATAGCCTAATACTAAAATTGTCATCTATCCATTTATTCATCCATCCATCCATCCATCCGTCAGTCTGTCAGTCCATTCATCACCCATCTGTTTGTCCATCAAAACCCAGTACTGAAACTTGCCACCATGGTCTTTTGGCTTGGTATTTCTCCTCCAGGGCTTTCTCACCTCTTTCTCACCTCAGCAGCTGGACTCACATCTGAGGCTCCACTCACCCCTGAGGCAGGGATCAACCCATGGCTCTTCAGCTCAGCTGGGTTCCTTATTAGCTTATCTATCTCTTTGAAGATGTATGAGCTTCCTTCTTTTGCCTTAGAAAAGCCTCTTTTACCTGCTTAAACTGTGCTGCAGCCTCTTTAAAATGTGGCCAGCTTGAAATACACCCCCCACCCCCACTCCCACCCTCCAACCCCCCCCCACACATGAGCACACTTGTGCACGCACGTGCACACACACACAGAGATATAATTACTGTGGGAAATGTAATGTGTGAGCTGAGAATTAATATTAGTAATTAAGACTGGAATAAAGGAACCCATGCTTGCCCCTGGCAGCTATCAAGGAAAGCAAGCAGGACTACTTGGCAGATTGCAACCAAGGAAACTGGCATAGCTTCTGAATTTATTATTATTCAATAAAGTCTGACACTGTGGAGAGACACAGATATGTCAGTGAGTGTTGCTGACATCCAGTGCTCCTCTATGGCATTTTAAATGGTGTGTGGGTGTGGGTGCAATGTGATGATTTCTGCTTCTTTCACATGGTATTTCAAACTCTAAGGAGGGCAATTGTGATGCTTCCTTCTTCTTTAAAATTAGTTTTGTTACCGAGGACACAGGAAGAAATCCCAAAGCTGCCTATGGGGGAAGGTTCTCAGTGACCAGATTACCAACTAGCTACCAAGTATGAGGCTATCACCAAAGAGTCTTCTGAAACAGGTAAAAGACACAGTTTGTCCCTGAGCTCATACCATCTTAGCCAGAGAGTTCTGGGCTAGAGAGTTGTTTGCTGTGTAATCTCTGAAATGTTACTTAATTTCTCTGACATGCATGACCTGTAAATGAAACAATACCACTTGGCTTATAGTATAAAGATGAGGGACATTCTGTAAAGTATTGCCGAATATCAGCTATCAACTCATAGAAACCATTACTAGTTTCCTTTTGGGCCCATTGTCCTTGGATGGTGTTTACCTCTGTTGGTGAGGAAGAATTAAAATGACGAGAAGACGTTGGATTTTGAGGGCACCAAGGGTCTTCAGAGACCATTTCCATTGAGAGAGGACTAAGTGACTCATGACAGATAGTTGTGGCTTCCTATTTTACTATCTTGGGGAAGGGTGCTCAATACTTCATACGGACCTTTATTCAGTGTCTCATCATCAGAGCAGTGACGAGATTCTTCTGTCATCAGCATGTCCAGTCCAGGGTCACAAAATAATGGGGCAGACCACCAAAGTCTATTAAACCAGAAACAGACTTTATTCCAGAAAAAAAAAAGAAAAGAAAAGAAAAAAATCACCACGAGGCACAAAAGCTCATTAGTTACCTGAGACCACAGCCAGTGTTCAGGATTCTGAGGCTGTGGCAATGGAGGCAGGTTCTGGCCTCCTTTTTATAGTAAGGGAGAAAACGTCAGGCATGGGGTGCATGCTAGGAGTCATATAGAAGCATCTATGGAAAGTTAACTTTGGTCCAGGCAGTTGTTGGCTATTGGGGAAAGGGGTTAAAAGTTAACCCCTGGCTGTTGACAGAGGAGCTGGTTGTAAGCAGAAAGCCATTGTTGGAAGTTAACCTTTGTAACTGATGACTGTCAGCTTTTATTTTACTAGGTTTACAATTGTATATTTCTATATTCCTGGACCCTTCAAGCAGAAATCTGGCTTTGCTACAGCTTGTTCTTCATAATTAGCCTCGAGGAGATAAAGGAGCAGAGCTGTGAGGATCTCTGTGGAGGAACCATCGTTCTTTCCAGTCCTACAGGCCGAGTGGCCACAGAGTCCTTGTGCTCTTCATACCCATGCATTCCAGTGACTTCATCCTTGACTCACTTTTACAAAGCAGGCTTCTTTTCTTCACATCCAGTGAAAATCCCACCCCTGTCTTCTTGGCAGAGCTGAACCGTTACAGGACAGGAGGGAGAAACATCTTCGGCCTGTTCCACACTGAGAAACCAAATTAAAGATTGCTTTGATGGCGTACTAGCAAACCCCAGGGACTCTCTAGGGAAATCTTCCAGCCATTGGGAAAGGCCAGTGGGGACTCATCATGGCAACACAGGATGTTTGTCAAGGGCAGCTCTGGAGTTGTAGAGGCTTCTGTTTGTAACTGCAGCTCTTCCACCTGCTAAATATGCGACCGGCAAGCTCCTCACTATCCCCGAACCTCAGCTTTCTACTCTATTAAAGAAGCAATTGTCCCTCTTTCTTCTATGAAACATTGTATATTTAGATTTTTGGTGTATATCCTGAAAATAATTTTTATTCAATTACCTTTTCCATGAAAGTAATTCATCTCAAAGTTGTCCATTCAGGCCCATATAATTTAAGTTTAGTTCTATGGGTTTGTAATTGACTTTTTGCTTTTATTATATCATTACGAGGTACACTTATAAGAAAAAGGAGCTTTCTGTACAGGGAGTATATAGTAATTACAACTGTATGACTGTTCTATTTTAATTCTATATATCTCTAGTTTTATCCATTTGTTAAAATTAATTGAATTGAGTAGAGTTAATATTTTTCTTGTTTGCCAAAGCAAAGTACTAAAGGAAAGTACTAACTTCAAAGGGTTTCTGAGGCAACCACTTATCCTAGTGATTAGTGTTTCCTGTGAGCTCCAAGGTCACCTTTCCCTCTGGCTCTGATGTAATGGGTAGTTTCCCTCACATCTTTTCTTCACAGTGGCCGCCATGTTCACACTCTTCACTGCAGAGCAGGCATACAGCAGGATAAAGGCCTCACTGGAAGGTAGTGGACTTGTGGGATGAGGTGAGGGACCTATTGAAGCTTTAACACAGCTTTGTGTTTGGAATTCCAGTCCAGCCTAGTGGCTTTTCTGTGATCTCTCAATAGAAATCAGCACCCCATTGGCCAGGATATCTCAAATCCCTCTCTAGGTCCCTGTGAAGATTGCTCTCATCTGCTGTTCCTCTGCACACTCACACAATGGTATCTGGTGTATCCCAAAGGACTGATTTCTGCTTGTTGTCAGTTCATATCAGCCCAAGCCCCAGCAAAGCAGCAAATGTCCCAGTGTCAGTGTTGGAACCATGCATCTGCAAACTTCACACCTCTCCATGATTTTATCTTCCTTTGGTATTCTCCCTAAGCTTTAGGAGAGTTGTATTTATATATTTTAGCATCTTCTACATTAGATGTTAATTATTATTCATATTAAACTTCTCTGGTATTCTTCTCATGACTAGTAGGTAAAACACAGGAATGCATCCTTTCTAGGTCTCTGTCTGCAGGAGGCATCATTGATTGAAGACCTTAAGTAGCTGCTGTGACATTAGGTCCTAGCATTCATGCCCAATCACACTTCCTTCCCAATCATGTTCTCACTAGGTCAGGCTCCTTCTTAGTAGATGAGGGTGCATTTAGTGGGTAGCCCTGGCTAAGGTATTCCCCCTGCGGATTTTCTTGAAGCTGTATTATATGTAAAGATTGATCCCACCCAACCATTCCTATCTTATCCAGAGCAGTCAATCTCTCCTAGCTCCTTCCCTCCCCTTTCTCAAACATGCTTTTCCACAAAGTTCTCAGACCTGTAGATTTAATCTATTCTTGGAGAACCTAAGCAAAAACACTTAAGTCAGAGACAGGATGAGTAAAGTCCATAGAAAGTCCTTGATGTCCAGAATGATGCTGTTCCCTCACTCAGACATGAGAACTTTGAGGGGGTCTCTTTGGGTGTCAGGACAGGCGGTGATCTACAAAGAGATGAGAATGAAAACTCAGTTCAGATGGACTTTGTTAACATGGATCAAACTTCAGAGAGTCTGATGGCAGGCAGTTTATTGTCAGCATATTTAAACCCACTATACTTTAGAAAAAAGTTTCTTGGTATAATACAATCACTGGTGCACAAGGAAACATAATTACAAGGAAACTCAACTCAGGGTACATGTCATCTTCCAAGAAGATGGTTTCTGAAGTTAAGCTGCCTGTACTACATTAAGGGCCTAGGGAAGGATCTGGTGTACTCTCAATCATATGATAGCATAGAGGTCATTTGGGCTATTATCCACCTCTGGTCCTGGTCATGGAAGCTTGATATGACCTGGCCCAACAGAGATCACAGATCACCAGGCTATTAATCACCTCCAATTACCAGATTTCTTAATGGAAGAACAGGTTATATCCACTCCTTTTAGAGGACAATCCTGTTTGCTTAACATCCATCATTTTCCTAGAGATCTGTGGGCATGGCTACTTTTGAGCTCCCAACAAACCTTGTCTCTAAGTTAACCACTGTTAAGTAGCATCTGGGTTTCTTGCTATGTTGAAGAAGCAATGATGATTGCGCAGGACAAATCTCCCACGTTCATGGCTGACCAAGAACATCCCCTTTTCACTTCTGAGATAAGGAGCACCCCCGACTTCTTCTGTTCCCTAGAATGGACTTGGACCAGAAAGCTAGCAAGCCCAATGGCTCCTGAGCATAAAATCCAGCATGGATCATGGCTTTCAAGCCCAAATCTCTGTGCCATAGGCCACCGTTTTGAACCTTTGGTGATAACTGGCCGTGAACCCTCAGCTCCTAGGCTGTGAACAAGAAGGCTAGGTACCCCACCCTGTTCACTGAGCTCACTAGACATGTGCAGACAAATGAGATGGTTGGTTTGATGCCAATCCAGGTGTGTTCTTGGTGCTGACTGGCTTTTCATTCCCAAGACACCCTTCCTCCCACTTTTTCTCTGAATGGCCTTTCAAGAACTCAGGTCACTAAGGATGAGAAACAGCTCTCACCCTGCTCATTTCTGATGGGATTTGCTGTATTTTCCACTACATCATCACTCTCTCCTTCCTTCTCTCTTCCATTGTGATCCGTGGATTAAAAACAGGGTCTCACCAGTGTTTGGCAAGTGCTCTACCACTGAACCGGTAGCATCTCAGTGGTGATTTCCACTAAGAAAATGACTGTTTCAAAATGTTACAAGGATTGATTTTCCATGGAGCCCAGTGAAATGCAATTGGAGCCTTCTAAATCAATTCGGAGAATATGGCTAAATATGCTGACTGAATCAAAGCCTAGGTGTTGGGATGGGTGATATACATTCTACAACCTTGATTCAAGGACCACAGTGTAACCTTAAAAACGCAATCTGAAAAGTGTGCTGTAGGATAGCTTATTGTCTCCATTACTCTCCTGTCACAGAAGAGACACATTTGTCAAGCAGAAATGGTTTGGGACTTACATGTTCAGTCACACATTTAAGCATAAATACTTCTCAGGAAGCCTCAAGAAGTGGTAGCCTTGATGAGTGTGCTCTTCCATGTGCTGTTTAAACCTTTAAAAGGAAATGATGATTTTTAAAGAATTAAATGTGGATGTGAATTCACTCAGTAGTTACACTAACAAGTGGTATTTTAAACTATGTAGCTGAAAAACATTGTGCTAAGCAGACATGGCAGTTAAGAAATTGATTTCTGTGGCAAAGGGAAGCCCTTTGTCTCCTCAGTTTTCAATGAAATGGAAAGGGGATACTGAAATATGCAATATGGCACTTTCTTTTTTTGGCTGGAAGCCAAAAGTACAGTTTCATGTCGTATTGTATTTGCCTCTAATCCATGGTTTTCTTCTACTCAACCTAAGCCGGCCTTCTGGGGATGACTCTTCACCTGATAGCGGGTGTGATATCTTTAGAGACACTCTGTCACCGTGTTTACATGATGACCACAGATCTACTGATTTCCACACCACAGAGGCCTGCTCCTGCTCCACTCCTTAGAGGGAGGGACTGAGGATTCTTAAGTGTTTCTTGAGAGATGCTAAATTGGCTCCTGATGAACATACGTCAGAGAAGCCAGACACATTTTAGGTTTAAAATTACATTTATTTCTTCACTTATCTGTGTATGAATATCTCTCATGGGTGGGAGCATACATGCCACGGCGTGCTTGTGGAGGTCAGAAGAGAGACAACTAGAAGGAGTTGGTTCTTTCCTTCCACCATATAGGTCCTAAGGATCAAACTCAGGTATCAGGATTGGTTCCATACCTTAACTTTTGAAGCCATCTTGCTGTCCCAAACACATTTTTACTTGTTCATGTACTTATTTATTTCAGTAGGTATGTGCTATGGTCATATCTGTAGAGGTCAGAGGACAACTTTTTCTTTTTAATTGAAAATAGATTCTTTTCTCATACAATATATCATGATTATAGTTTCCCTTCCCTCTACTCTTCCAAGTTCCTCCCCACCTCCCCTCCCCTCTGTATCCACTCCCTTTCTGTCTCTCATTAGAAAAGAACAGGCTTCTAAGAGATAACAACCAAGCATGACAAAATAAAATATAATAAGATGAAATAAAAACTTTCATATAGAAGTTGGACACAGCTACCCAATAGGAGGAAAAAGCGTCCCAAGAGCAGGCAAATGAGTCAGAGATCTACTGATTCTCAAAGTCAGGAGTCCCATAAAAAATCCTAAGCTGATAGCTATAATTCATACACAGAGGACCTAGTGTAGACTCATAGGGACCTTGTGACAGCTGCTTCAATCTCTGGGAGCTCATATGTGCCTTACTTAGTTAATTCACAGAGCCATGTTCTTCTGGTGTCCTCCACACCTCTGACTCTTACAATCTTTTCGTCTCTTCTTCCATGAGATTCCCTGAGCTCTAAAGGGAGAGTTTTGACGAATACATCTAATTTAGGCTCTCTCTGTGTAGTGTATGACTGTGGGTTTCTACATCTATTCCCATCTGCTTCTGGAACAAGTCTCTCTGGTGATGACTGGATAAGGCACTGACCTACGAGTATAGAAAATATTATTAGGAATGATTTTATTTTATTTTTTTGACTAGTCATGTTTGATTTTACCCTAGGTCTCTGGGCTATCTAGTCTCTGGTTCTTTTTCACCCAAGCAGTGTTGAGTATGGATTTCTTCTCATGGAGTGGGCCTTAAGTCAAATCAAACATTGGTTGGCTATTCTTATGAGTTCTGCACTACCATTGACCTAGCATATTTTGCAAGGAGGAAAGATTGTAGGTCAAAGGTTTTGTGGCTGGGTTGATATCCACATTTACATTTTGGTAGCCTGCAGAGTACCTTTCTGCACCAAATAAATAGAAAGTAGGAGTGAAGGCTCCATGTAGGCATCAGCTTGACTTCTCCCTGTTCAATGAGTTGTGTGGATGTTGTCCTTAGCAATGGGGCCCTGCTGTCAGTTGAAGATAGCAGCCCTTTGTCTTATCATTATCTTGGGTTGTTTGAGGATTTTCATGAAACCCCCCTTGGCCAACAACTCAATTGAATGCAACCTAGTCCCTCCATTGGAAGCCTTGCCTGGCTAGAAAGATGGTCAGCTCAGACTCCATATCTGCCGTTAGTAGGAGTCCTCATTAGAATCACCTTCATAGATTCTAGGAAGTTTTTATGCACTAGGTTTCCATATCACTCCCCAAATGCCCACCCACCCCCAATTCCAGCACAGAGGACAACTTTCAAGAGTCAGTTCTCTTCTACCCTCATGTGGGTCCTGGGGATCAAACTTAAATCATCAGGCTAGGTGGCAAATACCATGTATTAATAAGTCAGGGTTCTCGCTTAGAGTAATGGAACTTGTAGAATGAATTTCTCTCTCTCTCTAATATATATATTATATTATATTATATCAAACAATTGATTCCTGAAAAGTCAGAGAATACAGTAGTTGCTCAGTCCATGAGGCTGGAAGTCTCAGTTGGTCTCCAATATATGAGGGATTTCCAAAGAAGTAGGTTCTAAGGCCAGTGAAGGAATGGACTTGTTAGGAAGGACAAGAGCAAGCAGGCAAAAGGAGCAACCTTTCCCTGTTCAATGATCTTTATATAGGCTTCTAGCAGAAGGTGTGCCCCAGACTAAATGTGGGTCTTCCTTCCTCAAAAGATTTGGATTAAAATGCATTCTCTCACTTCAAATGATTAAGTAAAAACTCCTTACACATGTTCCCAGCCATTTGCAGGTTTTAGTTAATTCTAGATGTAGTCAAGTTGACAACCAAGAATAGCCATCACATAATGTTTACCCGTTGAACCATCTCACTGGTCCACATTTTAAAAGTTAAGTTAATAGAGTCAATGAACATCACTCTTTTGATATATTCTTTCATTTACTTTATTAATGAAATAATAATAATCCTTGGTTAAGCCTTACATGCTACTTAACTATTGGAATGATATGTTCATACATTACCTGTCTCTAGTAGGGTGTCTGTGAGATACAGATATTCTTTAAGGGATGTGAATAAAAGGAAAACACTGAAAATAATTCCATTTGGATGAATGGTATGTAACAAATGGAAAATGTATTTATGGCACATATGACAGACTGTTTTTGTCTTATCTTGACATGAAGATGGTCTTTGATTTATTGTTAATTAGAAAGGAAGGGACAGCCAAAGGGGACATGAGACCATGAAAAGAAAAGAGGAAAAACTGATCTGGCGGCCATGATAAAAACTCCAATGTCCTATGCAAACATGACTGTCATTCATCATCCCTGGTCTAGATCAGTTCTTAGTACCCCATAGTCTTCATTTTATGATAGCTGCATTTATCATCACCTGTAGTGGGTAGCCATTCCAGCTTTGATCTGGAAGTTCCAAGCCCCATTGAGGCTTCAGTAATGGTCACACCTACAAGGTGGGGCTGAGGGAGGACCCTGAAGACCCGAGATCTGGATGCTCTGGCTCTCTTGGTTCTTGGACCCTGGACATTGGAGGTAGACCGAGCAGAGTTCTCCAGAGAACACCACTGGACTGCGCTACACCTTTCCTAGACCCTGAAAACTATCCCTTCACTTGTAAGTTACTCCACAAAATTAACCTCCCTTTTAACTACGTGGAATGACCTTAATAATTTCACCAATAATCATCTACCCAATGCCACCCATGCCTGAGAGTTAACACTGCTCATGAAAGTCTCTGATTTATTTGTTGCTAAACACTTACACATATGTGTTTGTATACTGCAGGGTTTGATAGATCCTGAAGAAATGCCATTAATACAAGGTGTAGACTGGGAAGAAAGCAGTTCACAGGAGAGGCAGGAGGGGAGTCCATGGACAGAGCCCCAGGAGTCACTGCTCTAGAGATGCCTGGAACTCCAGCTACAGAGGGACCGCTGGCGATGACAGACTTCAAGTAGGGACAGGTTCACAAGCAGGAGCTAAAATCCGGATTCTGACACTTTCATTGCCTGTAATGCAAAACTTTCTAGGTAGATGCTGCTACACTAATTGTCCATTGATTGAAGTGTTGAAATTGGGACCGGATACCTCAGCTCCTAGGCTTGCTTCTGTCACTTACTGATCCCAAGTGGCTCAGCTAGAAAGTCCCAGTTCCAATCAAGTTGCTTTTGGAAAACATGCTTATGTTCTCAGTGCCAGCAAGAACAATAGCTAAGCTTGGTGTGATGGTGTGCTCCTACAATCCTAGTGCTTGGGATAGTGAATTTGAGGTCAGCCTGAGTTACAAAGTCTCAACAAACAAACAAACAAACAAACAAACAAAGAACAAAGGCCCCCAAACAAACAAAAAACAATAGTCAATTGCATATTATCAAGAATGGGTAAAATATTAAAAAGAGGAGTTACATAATAGGACAATGCTTTCTAAAAGTGACCATGACTCAATCCTTGCTTCACAGCCTACATATATTAAAAGTTAGTTCTTATTGCCTTCTCTTGGGAAAGTGTCTCAACTATCCTACGCCTCTATCTCAAGGGCAAGACTAGCCCTCAAAAAATATCCAAAGACCCCAAGGAAGAGAAGGGGGATGGGTAAAGAAGCCTGAACAGCCCAAAGCTGGACTCATATTCCTTAGAACCAGCACTTGGAGCTAGGTTGTTGGACTTTCAAAAAGACTAAAATCATACAATCAACTGAGTTGAGTGAATTATCTTAAAGCTGTTTAATCATCTCTAGTTAACTTCTTATTGTTTCAAGAACCAGTTTTAAGATAAATATTAATCTATTTAGCTTTTCCCGTTTTGTCCAATTTTTGTTCGTTTTAAAAGAGACATTATTTTCACAAGTGGCTCAGGGTCAAGGCCCCTAGGAGGCCCCAAACATCTTTATCACATTGCTGGAATGGGAAAATGTGTTTTAGATTTGAAATGCATGCCAGTAGCTAACAAGATTTTTTCAGCTCATTACAGAATAAATTGTGAAAGTGATTGTGAAATGGATGGTTATAAATCAATAAAATGCTGGCACTTCCATACCTTTTAAAGTAGATTTCTCTTCTGTTTATTGGTTCTTCATTCTCATGTTGCTGGGACCCCATTATAATCCCAACAGCTGGGGAAGCACTAAGATCAGGAACTATGTGATACCCTAGGATAGATTTGAAAATTAATTCAAAATACAGCCTGCCACAGACTCTCCCTAATGCCCTCTATAAAGAAAACATCTGGTTCTGCCAAGACCTTTGCAGTTGATCCATAAGTGTATCCAGCAAACCAACAGCCACAACCTCCCAGCATCTCTGAATGCTTCTCTCCTCTAAATAGAAATTTCAGAACTATGTATTCAAAACTGCAAGAGCTGGTGCAATTCTCTAGCTTCATGATGCTTATCATATTTGTTTTTACTTAGCAAACAGTTTAGAAAGGGACACTGAGAGCACACAACTTATCTTCCCTTCTCTCCAGATGGAGCCTAAACTATTTCCAGGAACACTGCTTTTCATGATTTAGAATAGAAATATATAGCGAACCTAACAATTGTCTCCACTGCAGAGGATTTTCTGCAATTACCAATGGAAATAACAGAAATGCTGGGAAAACACAGAGTCATCAAAATAGCAGATTTTTTTCTTTGTGAACTGTAATTAGTTCCTATGGCAATTTCCATCCTCTGAATTGTATGCTGGATGATAGGCAATTTTTGTGTGTGCAAGAGAAATGGATATATTAGCTCATAAGCACGTCCTGACCAGATTATAAATGAGCTTCTCTGGAAACTATGCCAGTCATAATGAAAGTCTTTTGGAAGAGAAGTCCATCATTCCAGAAATGTCTATTTGAGAACACTAGTTTCCACTCCTTTGCAATTTTTGTCATTGGTGCTGCAAAACGTGTTGCAGTTTTTCACACCATTTTATTTACCTGTGACTTTATGTGTAGAACAAGTTCTTCAGTTTCTTTAGGCATCAGTTCCTCACTAGTGTGGTCATTAAAAATCCACCCAGCCACTTAGAAATGCTGATGCTGAGGCCTGACTCCAAAGATTCAGGCTATTCCCTGGGTGTTGGACAATTTAAAGTCTCCAAGTTGTGCTAAGGATTGGGACACGTGGGCTTTGAGCCCTGTCTGGCAACAAAGGCCAAAAGCATGCAGTTCCGTGTCCCACCTTCCCATCCAGGCAGGAGGTTGCAGAGTTTTGCCCAGTGAGGAGTGAAGACCCCTGTAAGAATTCCAACCTCATCTCCTTTAACTTCTCATGCATAAAAAGTTTTTATTTGCTTTTCTTGCAAATGTTGGTCTCTTCTTATGCCCATTACCTATTTTGTTGTTGGCATTTCTCTATAAGTTGTTAATTAACCCAAGGTCTATGAGAAGGAGACTTTGTGTGTTTTAGCTTGTTGATCTGACTTTCTTATGGGGTTTTCCCTCCATGAGGAATAGCTTTATACCATAAAATTATCAAGAAGTTTGACCTCTGAGTATGTGTCATCCTGACAAATTTTTCCTCATTCTGAAATTATTTTACGAACAACAGAATTTTATTTGTTTTTTTTGATATTTAAAATGTTTGTCCTAGCATTATTGTGACATATGCTATGTGACATACTAATTTTATTATTTAGGCAGATGTTCAAATACCCTAGACTAAATAGTTAATACCTCCACTGATTTGAAATATCACCATATCAAATGCTAAACTACCATATGTGACGGTTAATCTTCATTGTCAGTGTGACTGGATTTAAAGTTACCCAGGAGAACAAGGTACACCTGTGATGGTGTCTTAGAGAGGCTTAACTGAGGGGGAACAATTTGCCTTGGGTGTGGGTGGGGCCCTTCCATGACCTGGGGTCTCTAATGTAATAGGAGAAGAGGAAAACTGGCTGGGTGCTGGCATTCATTTTCTCGATGATTCCTGTCCTGTTCTGTCCTGTCCTGCCTTCCTGCCATACTGGACTAAACCCTCTGAGGCCACGAACTGAAGTTTGTGGCAGGCATTTTGTCAGAACAATGGGAAAAGTAACTAGTGTACTACATAAATTTGAGGGAATCTTGGCTTCCCATTTTCTTCTCTTGTGTAGTCTACACTGGCACCAGTTGCTGTAATTTATATCTGTAATATCCCCTAGTAGCCTATGTGTTGAAGCCTTGTTCTCCAGCCCATAGTACTATTGGAAGGGGGAAAACATTTAGGAGACAGAGCTCAGTGGGAGACAGTAAGATCATTGAGGGCATGCCCTTGAACCTGGTACTGGGACCACAGTAGCTTGTCTTCCTTTTAGTTCCTATGAGGCAAGCAGGCCCCTTCATCCTATACTCCCCGACATGGTGTATAGTCTTACCAGCAGTCTGCAGCCTGTACAGCTGTAAGCCAAAGTAAAAATTCCCTCCTTTAAGTTTATTTATTTGAGATATTTTGATACTGTGATTTGTAGCTGATTCATATTCCAGTCCAGTGCTATTTATTACATCATCAATTTGTGATGAAGATTTGTAACACATCTCAATTGAGTGATCCCTAAATAGTCTTCCTTTTCATAAATATTAGGAGTTTCTTGCTCTAATTTTTCTATTATTTACTTTAGAGTCACTCTTCTAGTGCTAAGAATTCTGAAAGTATCTATGGAGGACTGTGTTGGCTTTATTGAATTAGAACATCACATTGTTTCTTTCATGGCCCACATCTTATTTCTGGTTCCCCTTGCCATGAAAGGTGCATTATTCACAGTGAACATGGTACCTTTGACCAAACTGCTGCTTCTTAGCACTTTCAATTCATCTAAACTTTGAAGGCATGAGCATGAATCAGTTCCCTCACTTCCAGCGTCCTTTCCAGATGTCTAGACTGCTTACTCTGCCCTTAATGACATGTTTTTTTTTTTTTCAGAAGGGTTGGTCATTGTTCAAGGACCACTATGCACATTCTATTACAATGGTCTGTTTGCAGATGAGAGGTCTAAGACTTAAACTTGTAAAAAGAAAAAAGCTATAAATTTTCTGCAACTGATCTTATTTTATTTTAAAATTTCCATATCATTTGTGAATGGGGAGGGGGGAATACCTTTAAAATTGCTGCCTAATGTCACTTTTAAGTTTAAAAAGTCTGTTATCTAAAAGCCCCAGTTTCCTTCAGAGCAGCTTCTAGTCTCTAAGTGCCCTTCCTGTCTCCTGTCAGATAGCATCCGAGCCTATCTGAGCTTTGTGGCTGTGATAGAAGGGCTCTCTGCAGAGTCTCTTCAGCTCAGTCTCAGCCTTGCAATGGGGACTGTCATGACCACACTCCCACAGTAGCTGGACTTGTGTGGTTTTTCACTGTTGGCTTTCCTCACCCTGACCCCAGGCCTGTGACTGTATCTCCTTTCTTGAGTGGATGCTGGATTGCTTTGTGTTCACCCCCCATTTGAGTGTGCTCTCAAGAACCACTAAAAACTTTGTGAATTTTCCTCATTTGATGTACTTTTTGGACACAGCCTCATCCTGGGACTCTCAAAGCTAAGTGCAGAGGTGTAAGAACCAGGCAATGGGTATCTTGGATGACTCTAAAGTGTCACAGCCTTATCTCTGTGACCTTATTCAAATTAGCTTTCTATGTTTTGAACTATTCAGATATAAAGCAGATGATGTCATGAAACACTGATCTCTGAGCATAGCAGTCATTACCATTTCAACTAGAGCATCTTTGGTGACTCAGAAGAGACCCTCAAATGGGATCTGTTGATGTTGCCTACAGAAGCAGGGCTTTTGAAGGTTATTAGGCCCTTGTCTCATATTTCAGGCACTATTCCTATACCTTTCTGCCAGCTCTATGCAATTTAGCACAAGCTGCCACAATCTTGTGGTCTGGGGAGTGTTTGTGGTCTATAGATTATATATAGGTTAACTGAAGCCACACTCCATGTCTGCAGCTATGGGGAATCATCGTCTATCCAGGGGTGAAATCTTCCAGTGGTGCAACTGTTTGGGGTCACCAACAGTTCTGTAAGTACCTCCTCACCTGTGCACTGTAAGTGCACATAAACTCATTGGCACCCCAAGCTACACATGGGTAGAATCATTCCTTCTGTCTGTCATCCATGTCCTATCTTGGGTAAGTAGACATCTGCTTGCTTCTTCCCAGGAAATTTTCATGCACAAATAGAACATGCCTAGGTTATCATGGCTTTCAATGAAAACATTCAGTATGTTCTGCTTTATTACAGGCTATTATACTGATCTAATCTGCATGCACCTTGAGGCACAATTATGATGGAGAGAAGCATTAGAATCCAGGCACTTACTGATGAACTCACAATCTGACTAATTTACTACAGTAAGTAAACCAGACACTCCATTTTTTTCTATTGCATGTAGATTTAAAAAGTGATCTTAAAATGTTCTCAATAAAGATTTTGTATTGGGTTACACAATTATTTTAAAAACAATCTTAAGTAGACATCCACTTATGAGGATTGCAGAACCTAGACATTTCCCTTTTTATGCAGAAAATATAAAGAACTGGACACACTACAGACATCTCTCTGCTAAAATCTGAATGTGAAGAGAAGCAGACAGACTACTGGGGAGTGCATGATTCCCCAGAGGAGGAGAGAGTGACTCCATAGTTCTGCGTGGCTGAGACAGCAGGGCCTTGAGTCCAAATGGAAAAACTCAGATTTTCTAGCGCAGAAACTAAAGTTAGGAGCTATGAAGGCTACAGAGAGTGGGAGGGGAGGGGATGTTGGAAGGGGAAAACAGAGAGGACCCCAGTCTCTGTCCACACACCTGTGACAGACACTAAAGAGACTGGGGCATCTCAGTTAGATATCAGCACTGCAGACAAACTGCTGGTCAATAAGTGACTGGGGCTCAACAGCAGTCAGGAAAACCACCTGTTACCAAAAAAGGGAGCACTGAGGGAGACAAGTTACATTATCCAGGATCTATGGACATCTGTAACGACCGCGATGCAATCCAAGATTATCCCACTCACACTGACTCAGGAAAACGGAATGCGTTCTCAAGAGAAAGGAAAATGAATTGTGTCCAAACTGAAAATGAATCAGTCTCTGGATAGTCAAACAGTAATTACAGCAATTCAATGAAATGCAACAGGGCATGCTTGCTGTGAGTGAAAAATCTCAACAGAGAACTTTAAACCTCAAAAGAGGG